TTCAATAGTATTCTGTTGCAAGGGGTGTTAGTTGCACTTTTCGCTGGTGCCGAATCTTTGATTTAGTGTAGACGTCTTAGCCTTGCTACTCTCCTTATTTTGTGGGTCATTCCTTCCCTCCCCCTCTCAATGACAATACAGAAATGTTACCTAGATTGTGCTCCCACGTTCAGTAGGAGACCATGACAGTGGCCGATACAACTACAGCATACAAGTTAATTTGAATATGGTAATTGACATGACTGTTATCCCTACGTCTTGTATTGACTGATAGTTACCGAGCAGATGATAACGTGATCGTCCCATTTTGTGATGTTGGTATAAATTTACAGACTGTTATAAAGAGAGCCAAAGGCCCAAGAACAAACTGGAAAGTAAACCAGGCTATATATGCGCGGACAGTCGCTAAAGAGTTTCTTTTAATTTAAGTGTGGTTATTGATGAAGTTTATGTTTTTGGAGCTTCGACAAACTCTAATAGTCATTCAAGAACAGCACATGGAGCTGACTTGACTGTAATAGTGTGCGTGTCCACATACAAATGTAGTTTAATGATATATTAATTAAACCGGTATTTACGTAATCATTCACACTCATGGCCAGGGGTAATATTAATTAAATTTGTGATTGAAATAACTGTCAATTGACTCATTTATTATTGTATATAAATCTCACAAATTTACCTAAGCACGTACATGTATACTACTAAGGATGCAAATATGGTGATGTTAAAGCGAGGGAGTCATCACCTGCACATGCGTTAAATGGCCATAGCGTGTCATTGTTTACAAACAAGCGTCTACCCATGAGCCTTTGCGTTTTTAGCGTGTCTTGTTATCGTCGCTTGAGACTCAATTCTCGCGTGTGCGCAGGTGACGATCCTCCCGCTTTAATGTAAATTACAAAAGACGTTATGAGTAAATGAATTTTATGGAGCAATTACAAGAATAGGAAGAAATATCATTTGTATACTTACTTTCTACTTGTTTAAATAATGATGTAAATTCATAATCAAAGAGTAGATGATCCGGGAGGTCATAGTTCAACTGTGGTTTAATTGCTGCTTTCGTGTAACTTTCATGCTTGCATACCATGTTTAATTTGTCAATAAATGAGTCTATGCCGATCCTCTTCTCAATTAATTGCTTTAAATTCACTCTGTAAAAAAAGTATATTCGATTAAAAACAAATTTTCATTTTTCAGGGGACGATTGAAAAAAATATAGTTGTCCATATGGTAGTCCAATAGAATTTTGTGTTTTTACACTTTGAATTAAAAGCCGATCGCTACTTTTGCTCATTGATAATTGCGCAGTATCTGACCACCGTAATAATGAAATGTAAAGCTTACTACATCACTAGCGGTAATCAATAAATTAACACAGTCACTATCACCATACTGAAATACTGAAATGCTGAAAATTCCTGAAAGTCCCATGTGCAAATCTAGCGAGCCACAAATATTAACAATGCAAAAAACTCATTTAGTAAAACTACTGTAGTTGTATCTTGTCAGTTACCGTCATATTTTTTACATTTTTGTCAACTAACATGAGATTGTTCAATGACAAATGTCACTCACTACTAAGCACTAGCTTGCGATCTGCTGCGACAACATTCTCAGTATTTTTTTAAAAACAGGGACACATACATATATATTTAATAACAACAGCAGCGAACAGTGTCGTTATTTATGCTTCGCTTGCAAATGACCAGTTTTTAAACGCAACTATCAAAATATCAAAACTTCATTTCACTCAAAGTATATTTGTATTGTGTAGAAATTGATAAATTAAAAAGGGCTCTTGCTTGTATCAGGTGTTCTAGTCATAGGCTAGAAATAGAACAGGGCAGATTTGTGAGACTGGATGTAGAACAGAGAATAAGTAAAATATATAAATCCCTTGAAATAGAGGATGAATTCCACTTCGATTTAAAATGCCCTATGTATGAAAGCATTAGAAAAAATTATTACCCTCATGGTCATATACATATCCAATATTAGAAAAATTTTATTCTATTATGTCAAATAAATCTTACCAAATAATCACAAAACTAGCAATGTTTGCACATAAAGCACAAATTCTGAGACAAGAATGTATTAACATGAGGTGACCTTTGACCTCAGGAAATAATAGTTATGTATTTATTTTTCTATGTATTTTGAGAAATGGGCCAGTGGCCTTTAAGAACAAATAAAGATCCTTCATTTGACCAGTTTTTACAAATCAGTTACCGTACACACACGAAAATTGGAAAACAACTTGTGCTACAGTGCTACAGTGCTACAAAACACACATTACTTTTGGATTTTAAAAAAAAAAGATAACCCAATAAAAGCATTCCAAAGCATAAAGTTTAGTATCATCAGTATCACAAAATATGGGAATATAAATACAAATATTTGAGCTGTTTAATATACTTTAAAACAGAACTTACTTATCAAATGCAACAATAGAGTCGTCATTGAATTGTAGACAGATTCCTAGTAAGAATGCACTCAGACCTTGAATGAGTTGGTCTGTTTCGTCTACATTGTCTGCTACTTGTGATGTTAACTGAAAGATGGACAAGTTAAGGAGATAACATAGCAACACATGGGTTAAGATGGACAAGTTAAGGAGACAACATAGCAGCACATGGGTTAAGATGGACAAGTTAAGGAGACAACATAGCAGCACATGGGTTAAGATTGACAAGTTAAGGAGACAACATAGCAACACATGGATTTTCACTTTAACAAAAAAAAAAACATTTGTGCTGGGTGTGAATAAATGAGTCGAAAACAGGAATAAAAGCAGACTTTACTTGGAGCTAATCTTTTATTTTCTTTACTGAACATTGACAAAAAAAAAAGACTTTTCAGACCGGCGCCTGCAAAGAGCAGAAACAATAAATTGTTTTTGACAATTAAATATATCTTGAATCATAACTATGATGTCATCAATAATATGACTACAGTATAGAAATATGCGATACCTAGAGTTTAACACAGATTCACATGGGGTGGGGCAGATTTAAGATTACCTAAGCTGTATAAACACTGAGAATTAACATGTGGATGAATATTCACTGCTGCAAACCAAGCATTTCATCCGCATTCTTCCCGGCTAAATCATTAAGCATTGTTTGCAAACAATGGAAATATTTAACATAACAGTAACCACTTTCTGAAAGTCAAAGCATGGTTCTCATGCTTTATAAAAGCAAGGGTGGAACTCGCACGATGAGTATGAATCTAGCCAGCTGATTGGCTGAAGTATGAAACTAGCCAGCTGATTGGCTGAAGTATGAATCTAGCCAGCTGATTGGCTGAAATATGAATCTAGCCAGCTGATTGGCTGAAGTATGAATCTAGCCAGCTGAATGGCTGAATTATGAATCTAGCCAGTTGATTGGCTGAAGTATGAATCTAGCCAGCTGAATGGCTGAAAGTATGAATCTAGCCAGCTGAATGGCTGAAAGTATGAATCTAGCCAGCTGATTGGCTGAAGTATGAATCTGACCAGCTGATTGGCTGAAGTATGAATCTAGCCAACAGATTGGCTGAAGTATGAATCTAGCCAGCTGATTGGCTGAAGCATGGCCTATAACTGGCACCAGAAGACCTGCTCTAAACTAAATGAATGGGCGTAAACATTCAACCAAATT